ATAATGAACAAGAGAAAGTTATATTTGAATGCACATTAAAAGATGCGCCGATTTATCAGAAAACAAATAAAATATCATTCAATCTATTTTATTACAATGATAAGAAACAAAATAATGTTGAAAACTTGTTTTTTTCTTAACTGTCATCACTTTTTTTTTGTTTTATTTTTCAATAACCTCATATTTTATGATAGCCATGTAAGCAGATGCTGGTGTGGAATACAATTTGAGAATGACCTGATAATTAGAGTCGCAATCTTGAACAAGATGGCAGCCATCCATTTTCACGTCGATTTCCTTGCCATCGATGATCCGACAAACACGAGCAGTACCCCTTTTTAGCTCTTGATTGTCAATGGAGATTGCATAGAACCGTCGCTGTTGTGTAAATGGTGTTTCAATGATTAATGTCATATCATCGGTTGGATAGCTCCAGTTGAGTTGCACCGATTTCCATGATCCAGCAATCTCAGAATTGGCCAAATTTATGATCTGCGGTGAGTTGTCGCTAAAGTTAACATAAGCTACATTCGGCTGATACTCTTCTATACTAAGTTCACCTGTTGATTGAAGTTTCGACATAACTGCAACAACTTTAAATTGTTAATAGTATGTAAAGCAAAAATGCACAGCTTGTTTATAATAATCGATCGCTGGCTATGAGAAAGAAATATTTCTTAATGTAAGACGAGAGAAGATGCAGACATACAGAAAGAGAGAAAGAAAAAACATTTAGGTATAATGAGCGAACCATAGAAAGTAAGATATTTTTATGTTAATATTTTCATTTCATAATCATTTACAGAGAACACATGGGATGTTTTGTGTTGATGTAATCTGGACTCGTCCAGGTAAATAACTTTTCTATATGCCATTAGTCAAAATAAATGAGCGAGCCAGGAGGTCTTTTCTTCTAATCGATTTCATAGTCAATGTATGCAATAGGAGAAGAGAACACTATGAGATTTTCTTAGTATGCAAAGATGTGACATTGGCAAGTGTTTTTATTGACAACAAAAAACTGTGATGTAAAGATGCTAGAACGAATTAGGATTGGGTGTGAATATTGCAATGTATTCATGACCCAAGTCAATAGTTTCGAAAATTTCAAAAGATGAAGAAAATTGAAAAAGTTCAATAGTACAGGAACAGCTCGGTTGATTAACCTTTTTTTTTACTCATCAGACCTTTAATGATCACTGCCTAAGCAGAAAAACAAATCCTCAAAGTAAAGAAACAGAAGGACTTGATAGATTACGAGTTAGTTGGACAAGTATCGTCTGGTGAATAAAAATAACTAAAGCAAGAAAATGAATCATGCTTATATTCAGTAATCGATAATAATTTTCTTCTCTTGCATTACTGTTATTCATTGAAATAAGACAATGAAAAGAGAACACGCTACTTCATTCAATAATGCAGACTTCTTATTCATCATGGTTATGTGCTAAATAAATCTGAAAATAAATTACTCTATCGAAAAAATCATAATCTTGTTTTTTGTATATTTTGTGATATAAGACTTACAACTCTACATTAGCTTAGATTTCATTTAATGTAAGGATTTACAACATGAAATTATTGTAATTTAGTTAATAAACATATATAAGTTATTGAATTTGTCACGGTTGATAAGTATTTGTGATTACTAAACATACAGCGGTCTAAAAATCCATCAACAAAACACTTCTTTTACAATGAAACATCTTCTATCTCGAAGCTGTTGCATTCGACTTTATTGTCGCCATTATTCTTAATATTCTAGCATAACCATTTTTGTCTATATGCTTGTCGCTGAGAATTTTAAATCAGAATGAACAGTGTGTAATGCACCATCGGCTCTTTTCTTACTAGGATTCTTAGCTGAATGAAGTGCACAAATATTGAGCGATTGTAGTTAAATGATGGATGACTATGGGTAGAGGTCGTACAGGTACGAATTAAAAATTTCTTTCAAAAAGAATACAGGATACGAAAAGCCATGCATGTGCATTATTCTAAACGAGATTTTGAAGAAAACATCTATCTTCTGCTACAATAAATTCCTTGGCAAATTAGTTGATACATTTTATTCACAACGTCTAAGTCACAGAGGCGTTTACATGTATTATAATGGCGCTGCTCAATTAACAATATCAATGTTATCTTGCTATGTAGTATTGCACAACATTTTGGTAATATCAATGTTTTTTTTTCTTATCAAGTTTTGCTATAGAATATCTCTTTACTCGATACTATCAATTAAATAACTAACTGCAAGAATGGTTAAACGCTGTTCAAACTGTAATGCCATCGATTCGTTAGTACAAATCATTAGCCGAGCACACGATGGAAATTACATTATCTACCCTAACGGTCAAGAATCACAGGGTTATTTACCAAATATTGCCGGTCTCTGCGATTCAGACGGTTTAACAATCGAGATATGTATAACATGTGGTCAACTAAATGGACTTGACCGAGTTGCATTAAGAGAAAATTTAAGTGGAAAACATGTTGATGAAGAATAGAATTATTTGTTAATAAAAACTTACTCTAATTCGATGTAATGTATTTTTTCAAGAATATGTTGTTATTAACTTCATGTAAAAAAATTTAATAGAGACCTGTGTTTTTTTTTTATAAATGAACTCCTAACAACTATTTTATTAATATCTTCGGTTGTTGTTTAGTGTTAGATTCGAACTCAATATATCAGATTTTGGCATAATAGAAAAAGAAGATTGAAATCTTTTAAAACAGATGTAATAAATCACAAACTGGATGGATCAAGACTTATTTGTTTATGTGATGTGATACTATAAGTCACCAACTTCGACTCATTACCTGAATTTTATAATGAAAACAAAATTTTTTCGAATAATGTGATGCATCAGAAATGCAGTAAATTTATCTTTGTCGCTAAATTTCAAGTCTTTTTATAATGAAATGACAAATGAATAAAAGCTAGAAGAAAGCAACAGGAAATGAGACTGTTTGTTCATGTTGAAGTAATAAATAAACTTCATGTTGAATGACATTAAATTGCTACTTGAGTATCTATGAAAAACGTATGCTCAATGATGGCAATATTATCAAGTCTAGAGATTCGATTTTGATTAATCATAAACAAATTCTTAAAATACTAAATTATGCATTTATATTACTTAGACATACTCATGATCGCTAATACTATTTAGTTAACTTCTCTTCAGTTCTTTCAGTTCAAATTAGAGTAAAATTTAATGCAATTATTATAGATTTTCTTGACAATGCAATGAAATATAATTTTGACATGAATGCAGATGATTATAAGTTCCTTTTATAGAATCTCAATTAATAAAAGTTTTCACCATGATATATATACTCAATGTAATATTTCAAACAATATTGTATTGTTGTGTCTTTCTAGTCTTTCGTTCATGTTAACCCTCAGCAACCAATTATAACGCATATCACTTACTTAGTCAACATAATCAAGATATCACTGACATACGAACTGAACTGAAGAAGCTTGTGAATCATCGATGAAGAATCAATCAAAAAATAATCAATGAAACACGTGCCAAACTGTCAATGAATAAATCGATACTCAAGGCATTGATAGCAATGTACTGAATATGACTAAAGAAACCAAAATGATAAAAACGAAATTCATGAACAAATGAATAGATCAAATCAATCATATTTATTGTAATTATTTTTCTTCTAGCTTGATTTATATTAATGATTTATCAATTACTTTAGTCAGTAATAAAAGATCATTTGATTTTTAATCAAAATTTCCTCCCCCAAGTCTATTAATACATGAAAACATGGTAACTAACAGATGATGTAAAAGTTCTACAATAATTTTCTTTCAAGTATAACGTGACAACAACTGGTCGTGGAGACTCAATAGTTTTCTTGTACTAGAAAGAGCAAAGTCTTTACTAAAAACCTATATAAGAATATTTCGTTCAAAATACGTATCGAACCCTGAAAGATTTTTCTTGCACTAGACTTTTGTAATTTTTTAGACACGTTATGTGTGAGTGTAAACTACGTGACGCGACCTTTCTAGTGATATCAAATTATTCGAATTACAAAATCATCGGTTCCATAGAAAACTTGATTTTTCTTCTACAATGCCCAATGGGGTTTTTCTCATAATGTCTATAATAGAAAAACTGTATTCTGTATTATATAATGTACTTCTGTAGAAGACTCATTAAACTCTAATTGGACATTAAAATATGAAGATTCGCTAACCTCGATTGTTGGAAAAAAAACGTTTTGTTTTTCACAATCACTTATTAGTTGTGAACACTTTTCGCTAGTAAAGAGTGTTAGAAAAATATCGATTTCGAACTCAACCAATAATTTGAAAACATTATTTTCACCTGGTTACGATGCTTTATCGTAGTGCTACAAAATCCGATAAAAGATAGCAAATAAAACCAACTTTCTTAGTGGATGAAGATTTTCTTTTAAACTCCAGAAACATACAGAGAACTTTTCGAATCAAGCATATTCTTAAATTTTTTCAGTCTTCGATAAATATTTTGAATCAGATATTTTTACACAATTTTTTACCAGAAAGAGAGCTGTATATCACCAATCAAGTTCATCATAAAATATAGAATAGCAGCCAGAGACAGTATAATATCAACAGACACCTCGATAGTAAACCATAAATGATAACAAAAAAATATATATTTCGGCGAAAGAGCATTTTCAATTATTTTTTATAAAAACACTCTAAGCCTTTATAATGATAAAAGCTATCTGGGGTTTTCTTTTTAGTACATAGATTGACCTTCACTATACTACTATTTTCGATTAAAAAAGAAAATTGGCAAAACATAAAAACAAAAGATTAGTCGTATAACGTTAAATAGATATTAGTTTTGATATACTCGTAAGTTTCATGTTACACTAAATCTTTTATTTTTCTTTTTTTCATTAAAATACATACCTATATATTAATATGGCACAATTGATTTTTGTTTTAGTATTAGTTCTTGTTATTCTACAAAATCATGTTGTTTTGGATAATTGTCACCGCACTTTTGTGCAGTTCAACAATACGAGCTAATCCATCGATTTCATTTTTTTTTCCTCAAAATTTAACTGTATCAACATGCACAGGTAGTAATTCATGGACTAAATGGTTCAATTCGGCTAAACCAAGTGATAATGGAAATTTTGATCGAGAACTTCTCTCAGTCATTGGAGCAGCAAATGGTCGTGATGTATGTGCGACATCTCAAGGAGTTCATGTACAATCAGTAGGTCAACTTCCTGGTACTGGTCCTTTTGGAGGTTCATGGTCAACAACGAATAACGTCATTTCGGGATTTCAATCAAGTACTGCTGGTCTTGATTTTCAAATACGATTTTGTTGTGCTAATAGTGATTTTACACCAACTACAACAACGACAACAACAGCACGACCAATGCCAAGTAGCACATGTGGTCGAGCAGAAATACAACATTCACTTAAATCTTCACGAATTTTCGGTGGTTCACATGCTGTACGCAACTCATGGCCATGGGTGAGTAAATATTCATACTTTTTTTAGAAAAAAAAGACCAAAGTGTTTTTATTTTTGTCTTTAAATTTTAGCAAGTTCTATATGAAGAAAGAAAATCTTGTGGAAATAATCAAATATGTCTCGGTGTATGTGGTGGTACTTTAATTGATTCACGTCATGTTCTTACAGCAGCTCACTGTATTGGAACAACTAATCCAACTGCAATTACTATCACAGCTGGTCTTCACAATAAGAAGAATGATGAATCTGATACACGACAAGTTAGAGCTGTTGAACGTATCTTCATGCATCCTAATTATAATGACAAAACAATAGAAAATGATTTAACTATTCTTCGATTGGCTCAGCCTGTTCAATTTAACAAATATGTTCAACCAGCATGTTTACCTGGACCTGAACCTCAACCGGATGCTGATGTTATTCTGATTGGATGGGGAGCTTTACAAATGGGTACAGGTGCATATCATGAATTGAAACAAACTAAAGTTAAAGTTATTGGTGATTGTAATAAATATTGGGGTCAAGTAAATGAAGAAAAACAAGTTTGTGTTGGACATACTGGTACTGGCGATTCAGCTTGTCAAGGTGATAGTGGTGGTCCAATGTTATATGAACGTAATGGACAATGGATTGTATCAGGTGTTGCTAGTTTTGTATCTGCAACTGGATGTACAACGTATGCCAATTCTAGACCTAATGTATATGCTCGAGTATCGGCTTATTTGCCTTGGATTAAGAGCATTATTTAAAAGATTAAGACATCTTTTGAATAAGTATATTTTATTAAAATAAAAATATCATGCCATTGACATTGCCAATGTTATAATAGAATTAAAAAAAATAAAATATAACCAACTTTGAATAAAATAAAAATACATTAATAAATTCAAGATTTTTAATGGCATACGTAGAAACTATCGACAATAGTTCAACTTATGAGTATACTCTATTATCAAAAAATAATTTACAAAGTATCTACTTAGAGCATACCGAAAGTGGTAATTTTGGCCGATAAAATCACACAAAAAAGAGTTCATCAAGTTTTTGCTTCAAACAAGTATGTCAACTACAAGCCATACTTAATCACGCAGAATCAATTCGTTTGGAGACATTTGTTGAAGGTATTTTTCAAATTATCTTCGATTAAAAAATTCATCATCTGGGTCGCGACGCTCCATGTCATGATGGAGCCGTTTAAATGATGAAGTTTATCAATAAAATTGAACACCTAAAACATACGTAGTACTTTATCGGTAGAATAAGATGAGTATTAAACAACTATGATACGTTCTGATACAGGACAGTAAAACCATCTTTACGAATATATTGTTAGACGTTAAGTAGCTTGAGAGAATTACTTATATAGTATTAATGATTAGGCGCCTTCCTTCTTTTCATATCTGCCAGAGTTTTTAAAGAGTATTTTACTAGTTGTTTTTGGAGAACACGTGAAATATTGTTTTGAAGCTAAAATACTGTGCCAAACTGTAAGTGATGAAGGCTTGCAATTCTTCTAGTTTCAAGAATCTACACTGATTTATGTATAACATATCCAACAAAATTTTATTGATCGAAATAGTTGCTAAGTGCTGTAACCGATATGATAAAATTTTCAATCAAAGATTATTTGAAAAATACTTTCAACAAATATCTTTAAACAAACCAAATATGCGTAATTAAGCATAGCTACTAATTCAAATACTTGATTAACTCTTTCTTGTAAACTTTTATCTGCCAAAACTACTACTTCTAGTATATCCTAAGTAGAATAATAATAGAGACAAATTTCTAACATTCAAAAATTAGACAAGCATTCGATTAGTCGAAAATTTCAACTGAATCAAACCGCCTTCATCTCTATTCTATATATCCATTGCCATATCATGAAATAAAAAAAAATCCATCCGTTAATGCAAAAACCAATTATCAATAGTTATATTTAATTTCTTCACATTATTTACAATTTGATAAACAAGCAAAAAAAAACATCATTTATATGTATCTGTTGAATTAATGTCTGATTATTCATTTCAAGACATTTTTCCATTTTAATCTGTTCATTATTTATGACGGTAAATTAAATTTGCTTGTTCGTCGTGCTGGAAGACGAAAGGATGGTGTACGATTTTCTTTACCTAATGAGGAAGTCTAAAAATAAAAATTAATTTTAATTATAGTTACAATATAAAGAAAAAATTTACTTTAGTCTTGTTAAGAACAACTGATTCTATTGATGGTGATAATGGTGTAGGTTGTTCATGATTTAAAAATTTTTCAAATCGTAATCGCCATGGACTTCTATCTTTGTTATTTGTATCCGCTGGTGTTATTTGATTATCCTTAATAGAAAAACAATTATACATAAATACATATAAAATTAAAAGATAAACAAAACGAACAGTAAATGATGATGTCATATTTGTTTGTTTATTTTTCATTGGTGTATAATGTTTTTCTAAACCTTTAAATGTATTTGGTATTGTTGATGTAAATGATGGTAAAGCACATTTAATTCCAGAATATTTTTCGACATTATGTAAAGATCGAATAGAAGTACGACGTGGTATGCTACTAGATACACTTATATTACATTCACTTAATCTAAAGAAGAAAAAAATTTGTTTTACGTTCAATTTCTTTTTTTTTTGTTTCTACTTACCGATCTGATATTGAATCATGTAATTTAGATTGATGATCTTCTTTTTTTTCTGAAACATTACAATGTACATTAAATGATTTAACGATTGAATTGGAAAATTTTCGTCGATCTAATTCAATTTTAGTTAAATGTAATGATGATGTACGACGAATAGTTGTTGTTATTTGTGGTTGTTTAATAGGTGTTAATAATTCTTCAGATCGTTTGACAATTGTTGATAAATTACTAAATAAATATATTGTATATTTCAAAATAAAAACATATATCAATGATATAATTACTTAACAATATCTTCAAGATCATTTTGATTTTTAATTGAAGATAATTGAATATCATTTCGATTTTCTTGTATTTTTATTTCTTTTTTTGTTGTCGATGGAAGAATAGATGTACTATTTATGAAGAAAACAATAATTCAAAATTGAGTTCATTCAAAAAAGATAAATATACCGTTTTGATTGCAAACGAGACGGCAATTTTGGTAAAGCAGGTAATGGAGGTATAACTGTCGAAGTACTACTGCTTTTGGATGATACTGATCGTGCAAAACTCATAATTTCGAATAAAAAATATTATTGATTTGTTTCTTTTAACGTTCATTACACTATCATCTGAACAATAGTAGGTCTTTGTTCGCGGGCATGTAAAGTTGATTTCATTTTTTATATTTTAAAAAAATAGAGCAATATCATCAAAATATTATTTACAAAAAAAAATTTCAAAATATAAAGTTGATTATAAAAGTTATTTTAAATATAGAGGACGCTACCAATCGATGAATCATTATTTGAAAATTAAGCATTCATTCTCTTCGATTTTCTTTCTATAGTTAAATTATTCTTGAATGCTCCGGCTAGGAATGGCTGATATATAAGCATTTGACATTGGAACCCAAACTATAGACAAAGATCAGAAAACGAAAAGGAAGCATGACAATTTATTAGTAAAATACTATATCAGTTCGATTGATATGTCAATTTAAACATTAATGATTATCTTCATTGAACTTGATCACTTTATTCAATATAGGACTACGTCTAGTGGTTTTGAAAAGTAATTCTTGAGAGTGGATCTAATTATACAAGAAAAGTCAACTAGTCTTTGTTCAGAAATACTAGTTAATGGTTGCCTAGTTAAGTTTTAATCTGTATTATTTGGAAACATCATGAAATCAATAATTGTAACACAATTAAAAATTTGATATGCCTTTGCACGCATAAAGTTCTTAATGAGATTAGTTAACCATACAACTAATAGTTCCTTTCTGAAGATGTAAATATATGAACAAAAGTTGTTTTTACACATGAGAAAATTTCAAATATTGAATATCTCAGAATAGGAACTACTAGAAAAGTTACAACTTGTCCAATGAACTAATCTTATTGAGAACTCGGTTCGTGCAAAGTTTAGAATCGAAAGTCAATTTTTCACGTGACCTGAGGATATCACAGTTTTTTTTTGACGAACGCAGTAGAATTTCGATATTTCAAGAACGAAGGCTCGAGAAACCAAACCATTCTAGCCTATTCTATTAATCAGTAGCACTCATGAATATGAACTTAATCTCGATCGAAAAGCGATTTGAAACTTGAAAAGATTTCTTGATCAATTACGAAATGTGAACATATAAAATTGTTCTAAGAATCTATCTCAATCAAATGAAGGTCTTCTTAGATTTTTCACAATATATATTATTTTTTTATTAAAAAAACAAGAGTCAACATATTTTACATCATTCCACAACATATTTTTGAAATCCATCCTTTCGTTGCTCTTGCAGGCTTATGAATTTGTTCTTCAATTAGAGTATGTAATCGAGCTATTTCAATTAATGAAACATCTCTTCCTGGTTCTTTCATTGAATTTTCTTGAAAGAAATTAAAATTTTCTTGTGGTGAATTCTTTGATAGATTTTTACTCAATTGAATTAAATCCGAACCATTTAAACCTGATAAAGGATCTGTCATTCGTAAAAGATTATTTTCAGTTAACCATTGTTGAACATCATCTGGTGTCCATTGACACATATCTGTTGAATCCAATGTTGATAATGATAAATTAGTTACATTTTGTGGTTGTTGACGTACAACAAGAGTACTAAGAGCAGTAATAGCTGGAGTTTTTAATTTATCTAATAAGACTTTTATTCCATAAGAAAATTCACATTTAGTAAAATCTACAAGAAATAAACCACGAATAAGAAATAAAAGCCAACCATCTGGTTTATAATAATTATCAATTAATATTGGAATTATTTTTAATTGTCTTTTAAATGCATATTGTGCTTCAGCTCGACAATAATTACTTTGTTTATATTGTTTACTTATACAAATCATTATTAGAGACGATTGTTCAACAGCTTGAACCATTTCATCCATTATATTATGATGTTTATCATTTAAATCAATCCATACATTAAAATGATTTTGAGTAAGTTCATGATATAATTGTGTACATATTGATTTATCTTCATGAGAATAACTTATCATTATATCAAATTTTTCTTTATTAGTATTAGTATTTATTTGTCTATTATTAGAATTTAAATTCCATTGTATTCCATAAATAATATTTTGTATTTGTTCATTTGTATAATTATTTTCTAATTTATTTATGAATGTTTGATTTAAATAAAGTTCTTTTTCAATACGAATATCAAATGATAAAGACCATAGAATATCATAAATAATTGGATATTCATCAGATATTTCAATTAAAAATTTTAATTCATTTGAATTAGCAATAAGATTTTTTGTAATATCAAATTTAGATAAAGTTAAAAGACCTTTCAATGAAAAGTAAAAAAACAAAAACAAAAAAAAAAAAGAAATGAAAAACTCATTTAGGATTTACCTTCTAGTAATTCTTCAATAGATATTTTATTATATTTTTTAAATGGACTTGCCCATGCTTGTTGAAGACAATAAAAGAAAATTTTATTTATATTATTAACAATATTGGATTTTTTAATTTGTTTTTCAGAAAGAATTTTAGATTGAAGACTATATATTCGTAAATAAAATCGATCATTATTTATATGATCAAATTTGAAAAGTATATCAATGAAATTCTTTTGACAACGAAAAAAATTTATTATATCTTGAAAATTTATTAAATAATTAAATAATTCGAGTATATTATCCACAAGCATTGATTCATCATTTAATAATTGAGGACGAATTTGTTCATGAAATGTTTGATGACTAAGAATATTAATTAATGATTCAATATAATCATATATGGTTTTATCAGGAATTATAAACATTTTAAGAATCTCTTCATTAGTACCAATCCATAAATGACAAGTAGTAATAAGACCAATCAGATGTGTAATACATGAGAATAATTCTCTACTCCATGATAATATTGTTTTGCTATGAATGAGAATAATATTTGTATAATCTTCAGCAAGATATTCTATAATTTGCCGTCCATCATAAAGAAAATTATTTGGTTTCGAATATAAATATCCACCTAATGAAAATATACATGTTTTAAGATAAAAAACTTGTTTCATTGTAAATAATGGATATGAATCTTGTAATTCATTTAGATAAATTTTAAATTGATCAGTCATTATAATATCAGATATAATACGTTGATTAATATAAATTATTATAGATATTGAAGCACATTCTATATGTTCATGCATTAATAATGAAAGATTATCAAACCATGAATAAATTATTGTTAAAAAACGCTCATTTTCATCGGTTCGTTGTTTAAATTGTTCAAATATTCCATCAATAATATCAGTATTAGTTGGAAGAAGAAGAGATTCTTTTGTATGTACATCATTATGACTTAAAATTATTCGTTTATTAAAAGATGAAATATTATGAAATAAATCAAAATATTGTTGTTCATCATCATTCCATTCTCGAGAATCTCTACTTAAAACTTTCCATGCCCAATTTTCCAGAGTAAATAATGGATCAAATAATGTAGAAATCAATATATTTAAATCATAATTTTGTGCTTCAATAAAAAAATATGATAGATCACAAAGTACGTCATCAGAAGGAGCGATAACAACTTTAGAGATAAGTTGTTCAATACTGAGATCTTCCATCTATTCAATAAATTATAATTGATTGTATTAGAAATATTATACTTAAAGAATAAAACTTATTATTCTTCTTATGTAAAAAGAATAAAATCGAGCAAAATTGTTCTATTCGTTTATTTCTTTTGAAGAAAATGTCCAATTCTACATTGCGTAGTGTTTTGATTAATCATACGAAAAAAACGGATACAATTTTCTTCATAAAATATATGATTTGTTTGCCTTCAACCGAAATAAATATGTATATTATCATAAATCTATCCATTATTTGAATAAATAAAATTTACATTAGAAATTAGTTATACTACTTATTCCATTCAGTGGAAAAAACAAGAGAAATTTTAATCTAAAATAAAAGTACCATGTTGTTTTTTTTTTTCTTAAACTTATGAAATTTTATAATTCTACTAATCGAATGGATTTGTTCTATGGTATTACGATAAGAGACTTTAGTTACATTGAAAAATAATAGTTCATATAGATTTCTATTTGAAAAAATAAAATTATTATTTATTACGTCTGTAATTAACATATTTATCGAATACGAAGAAGTTTTTCAAATTATTTACAATAAATTTATTATTCATTTTCTTGTTTAGAAACAAAAATTAAGAGCATCATTAATAGTACTCAAGTTTAATTATATTCATATTTTTTCAATTGGAATAAATTACATATAAAAGTGTGTTGAAATATGAAACAAATGCCATTTTAGAAGTAATATTTTATTTGTAAAACATTTGTGCATCAACTTTCACTTGTTCTTCATGGAAGATTTCATAAAATATTTTTAATTCTCATTGAAAAACTAAAAGTAAATGAATAATGTACATACTATTATTTAAAAACAAAATAACACCGTTGATTATTTCTTATTTTCTATTTTTATTTAAAAGAACAACAACATCGATATAGACATCTTTTTTTTCTTTTATAAGTGTCGATGCCATTAATCTTTTCAGTAAAAGAAATATTATAGACAGAAGATGAACTAACTTTTATCTATACACTTCCATGTAAATCCTTCGAAAATCCTTTCATGAAAGTGATAGTCACATATATGAATAAGAATTTATTATTAATGGGATTTAAGCAAAACAAACAAATGTATTATATCAACCATTAACTTATAAGATCAATGACTTTCAAACTGAAGAAAAGAATAATAATACAGAAATAATCATTACATATGAAATTAAATTCTAATAAATTTATAATGTTTAAATTTCTATTCATATAATCAAATCATTTTCATTGAACAACCATACTCAAATATCAAATGAATTGCTAGTTTTTGTTTTTGTTTTTGTTTTGTAGTACTAATTATTATTGTGTTGATCTTTAGACTTGTAGAATCGATAATTCAATAGTGACTAGATTTATTGCTAATTCATCAATAGTATATTTTAGTTAAATATTGAATTTAATCGTAACACTATTGAATTAGTTACATATCAAATATCGTTTCTTTTTTTTTCCTTTGCATTCCTTTGTTGGAATTTATCTCTCGTCTTTACTGGTAAAAAGCTACATAAGCAAAAAAATTTTTAATTATAAAAACTACATTTTCTTTTTCTTTATCAGCATGCATACAACATATTTTCTTCGTTGCTTTTGACAATTTCATAAACGACATGCGAAGGTGTTTTTTTTTCTTCTAAAGAAGATGAAGTTTTTTTTCCTTCATCATCATCATCATCATCATCATCAGACCATCTGAACATTTAATTAGACATCGATAATTAGCAGACATTTTCCAAGCCTAGATTTTTGTTATTAAATTGATTGCATTTCATACAGTAACTTATAAATAAAAAGTAAGGTTATTTTTGATAATTAAGTAAGAAAGTAAAATTTGAGATGTTTATTTTCTATCGTTATTTTTCATATTTTTTTTTTCTACATACTGTCATTTATTATTTCCTTGATAAATGTAGTGTGTGCAACTTGAAAAAAGAAAAATAGCTTGAGACCAAGTAGAAATATTCAATATTTTCGTCTAGTTGTTGATAAGACCAATTCGATTAAGGCATCATTCTGTTTCGATCAATACCGTATTGCATCGGTCGACAATGTTCATATATGTTACACTAGTGTGAACGCAAACTTCCAATTCAATTACAGTTGCAACATATATTCATAGCATCATCATCATCGTCCTCACCGAGAGCAAGACTATCAAGACATCTCCAAACCATTTTTCATCCGTCCGCTTCAAAATATGTCTCTCAATACTTGAGAAAAAAAGGAAAGAATTGGAGAGAAAAAAAAAACGAGACAAAGCGTCTTTCATTTATCTCCTGCTTGCTTGTTCGTTACTAGTCAGAACAATAATGCTTGGTCCCTTTTAAAATCTATTAACAGATTTGCGGATGTAATATTAGATGTTGTAGTGCTTATTGTAGAATAGAAAAGACAAAAAAAAAACACAGAAGGTTATAACGAAAGAGAAACACTGTTAATTATGTTGATGGTTATAATGATGATGGAAAATGAGAGGAGACAGAGACTAATAGAGATAATTCTCTCTCTCTCTCTCTCTCTCTCTCTTTTTCTCTAGCTACTCAGAGAAGGAAAATGAAAATCTCAGAATTTATACTCGTCTAGTTAGTTCAGCAAAATGAGAGTGCGTCGTTCTTATCACTTTTTTTCCTTTTTTTATGTGGCACTCAGTTTATTATGGTAAGAAACGCGCGGAAAGAGATGGAGCGAACTAGAGAGAGAGAGAGAGAGAAAGAGAAAGAGAGGGGGGAGAGAGAAAATGCGAACTGTGCAAAACAGTCAAGCAGGCTCATGCGAACAAATGTCTTATTAAATAGAGTGAGCCGGCACTAGAATCGCAAAGACAGTCATAGAAAAGAAGACGAGAAAAAGAAGAACCGCTACAAAAAAAAGAAGACTAAGAAAGGAGAAAAAAAGAATATATAGTTATAGCAAAAAGAAAGTCCTCTATGTTTCACTAGATTTTATTCACACGCACACCTATTGTAAGTATCATAAAAAAGTTGACTAGAATCGCAGCATTGGTACGATTAACAACAATAAGCTTAGTTATTCTATTATAGAAAAGAGAAAAAAATAAGGAAAAAAAAATCGGAGAGCATGTCAAGTAGACTCTCAAATAAATGAGATCCTGTCAGTTGTTCGAACATGATCGAACTATCCAAAAAATGCATCGTGTGAGAATTCCTATTTTTTTCCTCTGAATCCGATAATTGAGTACCCCTTTTTTTTTCTTCTATTTACTCTTTTTCTTTAATATCTATTTGTTCTACTCTTTCACCGTTTATCTCAATTAGTAAATATCTTTTGTTTTTATTTGAGAAAGGAAAGATTCGATAAATATTAGATATATTCAACTTTAATAACGTATCATCATTTTTATTATTATTAATCGAGTAATTTTTCTTAGTTTTTGATTAATGACATTTTTTTTTCTCGAAAGACTATAGTTTCCTTTAGAGACTTTTCCTATTGAGAGAATAAAGATAGTGAATAAATATTGAACATAATAATAAATTACAGAAATCATTTACACAGCTGATTTTCAGTCTCACTAGTCATCTATCATTCTTTTGTTTTCATCTTAATTTTTTTGCTCTTTTTTTCTTATTTTGATAAACAATGAACTAGGTTTTTTCTTTCCTAATAGACATCATTGATAAGTTCAGTCTTGCATGAGATTCTGTATATCAGTGTATCTTAATGAAAATTGCTTTTAAGTGTTGCTATGAGACATATGCAAAACCATGTCTGTGCCAAATAAATGGATAGGTAGACAAAAAAAAAGAAACATCTAATAATACACTAGTTTTTCAGCGTCTTTTATTCTGCAAATACTCATAGAGGGTGTGCCTCGATTGTTTGTGACTTTTTATTTGTATTGCTGCTTAATGACAATCATTATCAATGGTAAAGAGGAATGATTATGATGTTTGTGTGCATTGTGGATAGGAACTTAAGTTTTGTACTTTATTGCTGCTCACATTACTTATCATTTGAAGAGACTACAATCTGCCTCTCTTCTTTTGTTGATATACCGAGCATTTTTCTCACACACACACACTCTCTCTCTGTCTGTCTTTTAGATGTGGTGCACCACTACTACTATAGGAGAATGACAACAAACAACGACAATAGGAGTAACAGCAAGAGCGATTCGCCGCCATCATTGTCGCTGGTTCCGTCGTTTAATCATCATCACTTTGTCTCGTTCGGGCCCGACGCTTCTCCGATCGTCGGCGTTACTGCTGTCGTCTACTCGTTGTTTTCATTGTTCTCAACGCTATAGTCGTACCACTACTACTAACTGCTACTAGTCCTTCTGACATTCACGATTCCTATTTGCCTCTACTACACTTTTCCTACAAAAACTTGTACCAAATTTCTCTTCCTAAGCTAACGTAGACTCTTTATACAACTACTAATGAATGTCAATTGGACAATGTTTGTTTTCTTTCTTGTTCGCTATTCTTATTCAACGACAACTGTGAAATTATAAACAAACAAACAGAGACACCGATAATAATCATCAGAATACAAATATTATGGGCTGTAGTCAGGCTAAAATCGAGCCGGAAGCATTAACGCCTGATGATGCGAGAATCATCAGAGAAACATGGAAAATGGTAGGTAGAGAAGCCTATGGTGAATATGGCCAACGGCTCATGCTCAGGTAGGTTATCTAGAGAAAATATGTTTAAAGATAAACTAGAACAATTTATTAGATTTGAAAAATTAGTTTAAAGAACTACCATTTATCTTTTAATCTATAAATCACTTGGTCTAGTTCGATTCCTGAAAGCAAAGAATAGAAAACGGATGGATCAATGATTATTTCCTTTGTGTTGTCACCATTAGGAATGATGACAACAATACATTCATATTTGCTTTCTACTTTTTTCTTTCGTTCTTTTGAAACGTTTTTTTTCTTCTTTGTCTCTCTTGCTTGCGTTCTTTCCAGTAGGACATCTAAATAGAGAGTAACAACATTCAGTAGCATCATTAATAAATTGAAGATAAAGAGAAAAAGAAAACTCATAGTATCAATAATAATAGCGCTAACAAGAAAAACTGATTTATGTAAAACATGCGACATATGTTCGCGCATGTCAATGAAATGTTCAATCGATTCTTTTTCATATTTGCCCTTGCATTCTTCTCATGATGATAAAAAAAGGAAATAGTTGATAGTTAGATATGCAGAGTCCTTTACATTTGTGCAGTCTATCTATCTATTTGCATAGCACTTGTGCATATTCAATGGGCAAGCTACTCATTGCATCGCCTAGAGCGACCAAGTGTCAATCAGTACTACTTGCTTGGCTGATTCAATCGATACTTGCTTCGTTGTTTATATATATATATATATATATATATTATTAGTCAATGTGTCTTATGTGCAGTGGTTGGAAACTAATAGCATGCAGATTAATTCACACTTCGCGCATCACTGAACACACGTAGTCATATCTTTTTTTTTATTTTCTATTGCGTGTCTGAAAAGTTTTGCTCGACGTAATAACCAACAACAAGAATAAAGGGAGAAAATATATATATATAAACACAGAAGAAAACGATTATATTCAGAATTATAATTGATTTATATTATCTAAAAATAAAGTGAATCATGATATACCATGATTGATCTAAAGACAAAAGGTCAATTACTTGTTGCCTGGAGTTAGATGGCATATAAATGACAGGCATTGTCTATATATAAATGATTATTTTAAGTTAGCTCAATTAGAAAATCTTGGAAAAAAAATATTTATTTGTTTTTTTTAGGATTTTTCAAAAATGTCCAGACATAAAATCACTTTGGCAAAATTCCCGTGTAATGAACAATGCAAATCCTGCAACAACAACAGCCGTTGCCAGTGGTGATGATACAGATGCTCCTAATACCGCTAATCGCTGGAAAATGGATTTACGAAATCATGGTTCAAAATTTTTTAATTCTTTAGACGATCTAATTAGTGTTGTTGACAAACCTGAAGAATTATTTAAAATGTTAAATGATATTGGTATTCGACATAAAAGTTATGAAGTTAAATCAGAACATATCCAAGTATATCTTTCGTAATATATTTTATATATATTTAGATTTGTTTGTTTGTTTTTTTTCTCAATTTAATTAGGCTATTGTTGATGGTCTTAATCATACAATGGAATTTGGTTTACGAGACAAATGGACAGATAATCGACAAAAATCTTTTGGACGATTAATTAATATAATTGTCGCACGTACAAATCGAGCATTGACTGCTAATGAAAAGTGACATCATTCTAGTTCTTGCTCTCTCTCTCTCTCTCTATCTATCTGCGTCTCGATCCCTGAATGCTACTAGCTTCTCCGTCCGCTTGTTACTCTTCCTATCCGTTTCTTTTACATTCATCAAAAAAAAAATGTCTAGCACAGAAATAAAATATTGAATACCAATAATCCTCACGTTCGGTAATCAAAATACAAAAAAAAAACGATCATAACGATCGAACGTTTTTGGAGCTATTAATATCCTAATGCAAAACAAAATAACCTGCTGGTCAGGTTGCTAGTCATTCATTATCTAATTATTTCCGTATATCTCCCTATTTTATTTGTATGTTTTATTCTCTTTTATTATTATTTTTTTTTCTGTGTATGATCTTCACAATTCTTTCTTATTGCTTTATCTTCATTGTCGTCATTGTCATATTGAGTGCCTTTTTGTATTCTTGAATTTTTTGCTTCTTTGTGTTTATTTTGAAACAAAATAGACAACTTATGAGAAAAAACAAAACACAATGACTTTTCTTTTAATTCTAACAAGAAAATTTATAACAATAACGTCATGAAATATGATGAATATTAATGTATTCTTTTGACAAGAAAGAATCTTTAAAACAAGACATTTGATATAAAAATAAAAAGCTAATAACCACAACATTGATTAGTGGTATACGACTTCAATCGTAGTGATCATCATCAATTTAAATGACAAGCTCGCAATATTTTCTTTTGTTGAACTAGTATAATTTAGAAGAAGAGTGCACCGAACAATATTAATTTTCATCTTGATATTTGATATAATAATAACAAAAATGATACTTTTTAAAATTAATATATAGTTTTCTTTTTTTGAAGAAGCAATGAACTTCCTTTAATATTGTTCTGTAATTATCATAATTTTAAATCTACATATGTATCATATAATTATTACAAAGTGAAACTTAACACTCAGATATTATTTTCATTTTTATTATAACTTTGCTAGTTTTATACTAATGCAACATATAATAGAAAAACTTCAGTCAATAACGGTGAATCATAGGATATAAAGTACAAAATGAGATTGAATCAGTAGAAATAAATTATTTAAAAATTTCTATTTATATTGATAGATAGGTTTTAACCATTAACGTATTGTAAATTCATTCTTAATACATATAATCATACATTATTATAAGAGAAAACGGCATTTTTTTTAATCTTTCTTACGATAGAACCTTTCCAAGTGTAAATCATCATCAATTGAGCTGATATTTTACTCATCAATGGAACTTGATGAAGCTAATAGAAATCTTAAAGTATTCATGTATATGCCCTATTCATCTGAAGTTATGGTCGCTTGATTGAACTTTCGTACTCTAGACGTGATATTTATAAAAGATCGTTCTATGAGCTGTTTATCGGAAACTTTGCTCATAGATAGATATTGAAGTCATTAGAATATTCTAAAAAGAATGTCAGTTTAAACTAATTTTTTCTTAAGATAGTGAGTGCTCAAGATAGGTTGATTCCGGAGCGTTATGAAATAATCATAACTTCATACGAACAGAGCATAGACATGAATACTTTAAGGTTTTTACTAGTCTCATCTTTGAAATATATTTCATCGTTACATACAGATACTGATTTACATGATGACCATCAAAACACGTGTCCAAATTGTCGCGAAAATTTTAGTAATATTTGATCGTTTCAATTTACCAATAGAAATCGATCAGGGCACAAAATAATGCTTATAATCCATTTCAAAAGAGTGGAGGAACAGTCTATGAGAATGACGAAGAAGTTTTATTAAACGAAGTGCAAAAATTAAATCCAGATTATGTTTATGATGTTATTTAAATTCCCCAACAACATCATGGTGACATGTCGTGCAATGTTTACAACCAAAGACATTGAGATATATTCGATTATTTACTATGATTGAATCAATCTGTCGCTGTTATAGAAATTCAAGTTGATTATTAAAAGAATAAAACATTATGTCATTTATCATGGGTTTATTTTGCTTAAGCTCAATTAGATTGTACGAATTTTATGCAATATTATGGTTCTATATGGCAAACATTTCTTTCATTTCGTCAGTACAATGCATATTGTTTTAGCAAAATTTTGCAGCTGGATCTTATCCAAGCATTTTAATTTTAGTTGCTCAAAAACTCTCATTGATTGTCACTGAAGATGGCTTTAACAGCAGGTTATTATTTTAGCCGTAAAAAAAACACAGAATTCTCAGAAGATTTTTACATCCGTGGAACCCACAAATGAAAAATCTTCCGAAAACTTTGTGTTATGTTGCGATTAACTACCCATGAAAGTTTTCATCAAAAATATGATGCACAAGCATTTTATTTTGACTTTTGTTTTTGAATAGTTTGATTAAATATTAGATTTTAAAAAAACTAATGTTAATTTAATATAAATACTCAATCATCAAATAACTTTCAAGCAAAATAATAGTAAAGCATTACGCTTAGTCTTAATACTAATACTTAAAAGTATTAGCATTTTTTTTTAAAATACTAATGTTAATTTGACATCCTGAATCGGATCACACTTTTTTTTTTGACTTGTTCTAATATACTCTTAATTTAATGAAACATTTTTCTAGATGGTATAATTTGTCATGACACTTTTTACATAGATCAATTCGATGTTAACTTTTTAATCTCTTAGAATAGGTGATCTATATAAACTTAAACACGTTGAGTTGAAATTTATCGTAGATAAATCGTAAGATACTAAGCAAGTAACGTGTAATAGATCGATGTTTGCTGTTATCTAATATTAAAACATGTCGTATAACCGATTGTTTTCCTTTTTTTTCTCATTTAAATTTTGGAAATTGGAAGAATTAGAGCAAAGCATTTGCACTTTTCGAATATATGATTGATTGGCATTTTTGTCACAATTTTTCTTATAATCTTTTCTGAATCTCGGATATACAGTCATTGTTCGATTTTTGTGTCATGCGAGATTAAAGATAATCTTGAGATTAAACAATGCATCTAAAAGCGATCCAGGGTACTGTAGAATGAAAGTAAGTGTGTAGGAGATAAATCCGTAAAAAAAAACAGATGAGAAAATTGTATTACCTCTTGTTTATCCAAACTTTTATAGTATTACAATTTGAGATGTAACTTTGATCGTCTAGTCAATTCATTATGATCAACTATCATTAAAAATATCAGCATCAGAAAATTTCTGGTTGATGACAAAAAGAAAAAATAATGTCAATGTGTCACGCAAGATTATAACGTGCAGAGTACTTCACAATTAAGATCGATGCAAATATATTATAGATTAGTTCAGTTTTTCTCTTAGATGCTATTGAAATTACTGCGAATTGACTCTAATTGTACTATATGAAAGTCATTTTGCGACGATGACGACATTATTAGATCTATATAGTTGACATTTATTGAACTTTAAGCCTTAGTTTTATATCATGACAGGCAAACAAAGTTCTTCTTATTTATAGTTTCAAGTATTTTAATGAACTTTGCACACCTCTCACACCTCTATAGTATTCAGCGTATATGAGAAAAATTCGTATTGAAGTATTTTTTTATGGATTTTGAGTGATTTTTATATATCTCAGTCATACTAGTAGTGATTGTTGGAAAAATTTATTCTTTGCCTCGTATCATATAGTACAGTAAATTTAAACAATATTCATTCTTATCATAGAAATAAAATCACGTTTTCGATTATGAAGACGATAAATTTCGTATTTGAATTGTGTCCAAAATGGTACATTGGCTACGTTTGAACGTCGAAATTTTTAATCAGAGTAATGAGCATTTTTATTTTGGTATCTATTCCTCAAAATTATGAATCCGGTTGAAAATACAGATTTTCGGAATATATAGAATTAATGATAACAGTATTCCCTTGTCATTTTACGCTATTTTCATATATTATGTGATACAATTAGTTAAAAGATAATTCATAAATATTTTCTTTGCAAAATCGACTTTTGTTTTGGGTACGAACATAATAAAGCTCAAGATCTGCTGACAAACATTTCGACTGTTGAGTGCATTATCATAGTCGATGAAAATTATTCTCATTCAGACAAATCATAATTCGAAAAATTCCTAAGACCATCTTGTTTAATCTTTTTTTTTTTTTGCCGAGACTTTATCCACATATTCGTTGCAATGTTAAGCAGCACAGATTCCATTACTGTTGATGATCAATTTTTTTTTCTTTTCACAAAAATACTTAACTCGGCTTACAATGTCCAAGTAATCAATGCTTGTCTTTGGTTTTGTAACCTGCACTATTATTATTATAATATTCCTGTCGATATTCCATGTTATTATATTATTTTGCTAGTTCCTCTGATATTCACTACACTGAAAAAAAAATGATACCATACAAAACCCACGCTTGGTTCAGAATTTTGTAACAAAATCGAAACCCTTCAGGGTTTCGTAAATATTCCTTTTCTTTTGATTTTGCAAAAAAAAAGTTTATTAGAACGATGTTTCCACTTGAGTCAGTATCCTAGTAATAAGCTCATGCACCGTACAACAGTAAGATGTTATATCGAACTAATTTTTATCGAAAATAGAAATTTTGAAAAAAGGCTCCATAAAAAAAACCTACATATCTCACAATGATTGCGGGTGGTCAAAAAGGCATTTTCAAAGCTTTTCTTATTTGAATAAAAAACCTTAAATGGTTCGGATTTCGTTACAAAAATCCGAACCCTTCTAGGTTTCGTAATGTGCTCAAAAACCTTTTTAGGTGTCGCAACATGGTGAAAAACCGTTTGAGGTTTCGTAGCAGTCCAAGTGGTTTAGTATCGTACCTTTTTTTTTTACAGTGTACAGACAGGACGTTCGTTTCGAAGGAGTTTACTGGTTACCTCATTTATTAAATTGAGTTGAATAGTTTATTTCAGCTATGATTCGACTCATGAACGGTGTCACTTATGAAAACACACTAGAGAAGCAGATGACTTAGAAAAGTATCAGTTGTTAATTTTCATTTTTGACATTT